AAGTTAATTCAAACAGCGGCCAATTGATTAAACTAACATATTTCCTAGTGTTCAGTTCGAATCAAGCAAGACTTGTAGTTATAGTTAACTAAATTGGTTGATTCAATTAACTCATACGTGGTTGGTCATCACACATGCTCAACATTAACTTAATTATTTTCTACTTAACCCTAGGTTATGTTCACAACACTAGGCATACAATTTTGTTTTCACAAAACTATAAGATTCAAGCAATCAAGAAGATGTTCATGCAACTCAATATACTTAGTTATTAACAAAAAATAATTATCATTAACACTTAAGGATCTTTTAACAAGCTTAACAAGATAAATAACCAAATTAATATCATCCAAAGCCACTAATCAAACCATATTCATAAGATCATCTAGTCTAAACAGAAGTATGGAGTTTAGCCCATAACTTCAGCAAATAACATCATAAAAACGAAATTCATCAATGTAGACATAATGTAAACAAGAGAATTAAGTAAATTACTAATGATTTTGCCTTTAGATCTCTTCAATTCCAAGCCTCTAGTTGAATTTCGAAAACCACAACTTCTAAGAACCTTTCTGGCCTCCAAAAGTCGCTAAAAGCCTCCAGCAAAAGTTAGGGTTTCGAGTGAAACGATCTATAAATAGGTTCTGAAAAACAGCTCAACTCATCGAGTTTTATGACAAAACTCGCCGAGTTTTTGACTTAAATCGCATGTACGGCAAGGCACTAATTTGTCGGGAATCTTCTAAGAAACTTGTCGAGTTGGAGGACCCAAACTCATCGAGTTCGTTTGGAATCAACATTTTTCTCAAAACACGAAAGTCGTCCGAAAATTATGTATAGTTTTCAGAACATTTTAGATCTCGTCAATCGGAGTTACAAGTCATGAGGTATGTCCAAAACACCGACTACGGGTCAAGCTATCCAGCAACATCCTTCTTTCTTCAAAATCCAAGATCCAAGCTTCCAAGCGCCAATTCGCTTTCTTTTCCTTCCGAGCATGTCTTTGTTGCTGAAAATGAAATTTTAAACTAATTAAACACCTTTTGTTCATTATTTAAGATAAAATTAACATAAACTATTAAGATAATGCATGAATTTTATGATTAAAAATGCCCATATCACACATCTGATGATAATCTGAACTCAAATCAATCTTGGAAAACCAAGATGCATCCTACAACTGATAAAAAAGGTCATCAATCCTCATGAGTAGATAATGGTTCTTCACTGTCAGCTTATTCAGCTCCTATGTAGTCTATGCACATCCGATGCGCCCTTTTTCTTAACAAACATGATCGATGCTCCTTAAGACGAACTGCTCGGTCGGATAAACTCTTTGCCCAACAGCTCCCGTGTATTGAGCGGTGCGAGACGATATGACACCTTGGGAATCAGGGGCTACCCAAGGGATCAGATCGATCCCAAAATCAACCTGCCTCTCCGGAGATACACCAGGAAAATCCTCCAGGAAAACATCAGGAAACTCATGTATTTGAACAATATATTATATATAACACCGATCCATCTTATAACACTTCATGTATCTTAAACCAACGATAATATTTATGTACATAAATCCCTCTCCCCCCGCATCAACCCATCGTGTAAGATTTTCATTATATACATAAAATTCCTTGAGTATTAGTGGTATAAAATTCTTAGCATAAATTAAACATGAAAATAAAATTCTGACCTTCTTTGGGTTTTAGGCTGTGCTCTTGTGAATCTTTCCCATAATTTCTTGCTCTATTCTTTCCTTTACCAACATGACAAACACACTTCATATGATCTGGTTTGTTACACTTGCAACATATCACTTTCTTCTTGTTGCATCCTTATTTGGTGTCCTTTCTTTTATGTTTCTTGACTTTGTTTTGTTTATGATCTTTACTATCATGACCACATTAATATATGATTACAATATTTGGCTTTTTAGTTTCCATTTTCTTGTACTCATAAATAATCCTCAATACATAAATGGACATCGAGTTGTACTAAAGACAACTCTTCCTTTTTGTGCTTTAACTCATGTTTGACGTCTTTCCATAAGGAGGGGAGATAATTTTTCCACCGCACTTGATACATAATTGAATCTTTTTTATTCTTTAGCATATGCTTGATGTATTTCCATGAAGGGGGTGGGGGTGTCTATCACACTTGATACCTAATTGAATCTATCTATTTGAATTTCGTGTTGTTATTTCCCAAGGATACATAGGAGTTTATTATATTGTTCCATCACAAAGTCTAGAATCCCACCATTCAGTAACTCTTGAAATTACTTATAATGAAAATTCTACTTGGAAGTATCCTTAACGATATACTTGGATTACATGGCATCATATATATCCTTCGTAGATTCAAAGTTTTGATAAATTTCAAATAAGGAATCAACCATATCATTTAGGATGTGCCCACAACAAATATAATCATCGTTCTCACATTTGAATCGGTGTCTAATAGTCTCCATTGTTTGACCTTCTAGTTTTTATAGTGTAAATGTGTTAAACACATAAACAACTCTCAACATAATAATAATAAAATGTATATTGTTATGCAATCACTTAAAATTTTTTCCTTCAAACTTCTCAAGTTTTCCAAACTTATAACTCATGTCTCTAATAGAATTTTCATCCATTGATATTTCGTAAAAATGTATAGATTTTGATTATCAGAAAAAGGAAATATTCAAAAAGTCCTAATACTTTACCATAATTTACGAATAAGTTCCAAACTAAAATTTGTTTACGAAAAAACATAAATTACCGGTAAAAATGATGTTTTGACCCTTTTTTCTTGGGTTACTGGTTTCATTGCTGATATGGTTCCATTAAAGTCCCATATTTACCCTAATTTACGAATAAGTATCAAACTAAAATTAAGTGATGATTTTGTCATTTTCTCCTTGTAACATACGTTTTATCGGTTTCGTTGTTGACCTGACGCCTAGCCATTACATGAGCTAACGAGATGGATATGTTGAGTTATATAATGCTATGTTTACCACAAAACTTGATACCTTACCGTATTGTATATATATATTTTTTGAATATAAAATGTATTAAACGAAGACTGCAATAATGACATAAACTAGCAACAACTTCGTCATTTTTGAAGTTTATAAGAAATTTCAAATTGTCTATCTAATCTTATGTAACCCAACATATCCATCTCACCAGCTCATTTCCTGCCTTTTTTTTTCTTCGGAAACACACATTTAATGGGTTTCACTGCTAAACTGGACACATAGTCATAGTCATAAAATATCCATTTTTACAGTAAACTTAGCATTATATAATCCATTGTATCCATCTTATCAGTTCATTTAATGACTAGGCGTCAAGGTCAGCAATGAAACCGGTAAAATGTATGTTACTGAGAAAAAAAAGGACAAATCATCACTTAATTTTAGTTTGATACTTATTCATAAATTAGGGTAAAACAATGAGACTTTAATGGAATCATGTCAACAATGAAACCAGTAAACTGGGAAAGAAGGGGTCAAATCGTCATTTTCCCAGTAATTCATACGTTTTCGTAAACAAATTTCAATTTAGGTCTTATTCGTAAATTAGGATAAAATATTGAGATTTTTCTGGAGATTTCTCATCAGAAAACATGTGTAATAAATATCAAAACAATACTAAGAGTTTTCTAGGATTTTGTAATCACATTTTCCTAAAGAAGTAATTTTGATCGGGTTACACAAAAATAGATTTAGGATAATTCAAAAAATTGTACATCTATTTTAGGCAAAATCGAAGATACAATCACATAATACATGATTTTGTTTTTATGTTTTGTGAGATAAATAATTCTCCGAAGATTGTGAAGGATAATGGTAATCAACTGCAAAAACTAAGAATCATATATGTATACGCATTAGATAATTAATTTGGTTGAAGTTGGCAAGAAAATTCACGTCTATTAGGATCAAACACCTTGATTAATTTTGGCAAAAAAAAGTCATAATCGCATATATCTGTTACACTATGGATACTATTTCGGTTAAAATAAAGAACCTACCCGTTGCACACTGCCACACAAATACCCCTTGGAACCCCCACCAAAGCTGACCCCGTGTTATTCAAATTAAAACAACTCATGTGAGTGGAACCCCACCAAAGATGATGACCCCTATGTTATTCAAATTAAAGAAACACATCTGAATGTGTACTGTGCACCTCCCGAATTCACAATATATATCAATTCTACTAAACTTGTCTCGAGTTAATCTTGAACGTGTTAAACAACTAAATGATAATAAAATATAAAACTAATAAAGGAAAAATCTCGTTACTTGGCCGTTAAATATGTGAAACATTGATGACATGTCAACTTTGAAATCTAATGATATTGACTTAACACAAACATTGATATCATATAAACTATCATAATTGAACTTGAATACTCTTCCCAAAATTATTGCAATAAAAGATTACATTAGACAAAAAAACTCTTTAAACATTATATTGAGTGTTTAACAATGGTTGACAACACCTACTATATACATACATCCATCCTGAATTACAATGACAAAAATAAATTATCAGCCACTAGTGAATTATCTAGTTTGGAGTCTTATATAACTAAGGCGATGATTAAAACTGCTATATACAAAGAAAGATTTATCTTTCTTGGTAGTCTTTTTTAATATGTAAGATACCGTAATCTAGTTTGAAACAGACATTTACAGTAACCGAAAGTAATTGAAATGTTAGAATAACGGATTGATCGGTTGATGATAACAAAGAGTTGCCTTTCAATGTAAACTATGATGACAATGACAAAAGTGGGAGTTTTAACTTTCGTTTTTTTAGATTTACTTGAGAAATAAATTCCTGTCAAGGAATGAGCTTAAATTGTTTTATCATTTTGGACATTCAAAGTTAAATGCCCAAAAATAAAAAGTAAGAAACTTTATTTTTTAGCCAATTATTTTTGTTTATCCTCTTCTTTTCAAGGTTTATGATAGTGTCCAAAATTTCTTCCATCACTGATCACTAGCCAAACACACCGTACAAATGTCCACTCTATCACTCCCTTCTCTTCGTCCTCCTTCATCCCCACACTAAACCCTAGACCCACCTCCATTCTGTCAATCAATGGATCCCCGCCGTGCCCCTCGCACCGTCATCGACCCCAAAGTCCGTCAAGTCGGATTTTTCGCTCCACCTGACCGCGCCCAATCAGGCCCCTTACCTCAATCCTCCGATTCCCCTTCATCCCCACCGTTATCGGACATTTCTCCCTCCGGTAACTCAATCTCCCCGGTTATGATCCCACCTCCCCGTCATCTCTCTGACCTCTCCTCCCGTACCATTCCAGCGGGGTTCCCTCCGAATCGTTTAGTATCGCCGCTTCACCGATTCTCCGGTGAGTCCATTATCCCTGTTGGCAGTTACAACCCCTCGGAGTTTGCGTCTCCATCGGTCGCAGATTTTTTCGAGGATAAAAATGCACGGTCGCCGGGGCCACGTCGGAGTCGTGGAGTTGGTGGGTCTGGGAAGTTCGCGTCTTCTTTGCCTGCCGGCGGTTTTGAGTTGCCGCCGGAAGTTAAACCAAAGAGCTTGACCACCGTTTCGGTTGTTAGCAACTTGCAACCTAATGTGACTGGTATGCAATCTTTGAGCTTTTCTCCACCGTTTATTGGCTGCTATTTCTGCACTGGTTATGTAGATTCTTACATTGTACATTGATACTTACAATTGAGAATGAGTTATCTTTTCATAGATAGGGCAATAATTGAAGGAATTGATTACCAGAAAGGTTTAGGATGTGTTTTTGATGTGGTTTTGCTGCATGAAGATGTAGTAATCACTATAATAGTGCTTTTTGTTTGGAAAATTCTAATTATTTAAGCAAGTGATAGATCAAATAACTATAAAATAATTAATTTTATTCTACCATGTGATAATCCATTGTGTTTTCAACTAGTATTAAACCGATTATAAGCAGAAGTAGGTTAAGATTGTATCTTTAGTATTTATTTTTCATCAACATGTATACGTGTGACCAAAAGATGTTGCCTTTTTAAAGAAAATTCCATTTTGAAGATATTCCGATGTTCCTAATTCACAAGTTTCAAATTTGGTTATCTTTTCTTATTTTTTTTTGCTGTTTAATCAAGTGGAAGTTGGGACGAAGTATACAAGCATTAAAAATATAAATCCTTTGTGGCAACTAGGCCTCAATTCATAAAAGATTGCCTTTCTTTAATCCAAAGTGGCTAGTACTTAGGCTTCCTTTAGTTAACCTTCATGAATCTTTATACTTACAATAGTATATTTCTATTTTCGTTTAAAGTTCGCTAGGAAATCAAGTGGGCTTTATTCATCAAGTAATTTTTATATTTGTAGCTTATAACTCTATATATCTATCTAGTAATTCTTCAATTAGGCTGCATGGCATGACATGACATGACATGACATGACAGATTGGACTGTGATTCATCCTCATCAATGCAAATTGCAACTTTTGTTCCATTGACATCAGTCTCAGTCCTATGCACGCCAAACACAGTACATCTTTATCTGTTCTGTCTTGTTTTGTCCTGCATACTTCACTATCATTCTAATTAATGATTAACCCATTGATTATTTTTTTTGTCCGCTTTTATGTTTGACTAATGCCATAAGTCAACTGTCAACATCCTTTTCTTTATTGCTAAACTTAACAATCTACTTTATGTGAACGGTTACATTTTTCCTAGAACATGTAATAAATATTTGTTGCAATTATGATTTTCCTTCTACATCAATACCCATAAAAATGTCTAAATTTTCGGTTTTCCATAGTCCAATATTACAATAATAAAAAATATTAGATTCTGTGCATTAAATCCATGTATGATCCTTTATTTTTACGATTATGATTTCTTTCATTTTCAATTCAACCAAACACCCCCAAATCTTTATGTCCTTTTGAGCTTCCTCTAAACCCTAACTCTCAAATCTGCAATGGATTCACGCCGCCCACGTGGGGCGGCATTTGTTCCAAAAGTTAGGCATGTTGGATTCTTTCTCCCTTCGGACCAAAATACCCCTTCATCTTCTCCCCTGTTATCTGAACTCCCACCGGAAAATCTCCGATCTCCGGTGATGATCCTCCCTACACCGCTGCCCTGTGGCAGCAGCCATCCTTTGGATTGTAAGTTTAGTGGTGTTCAGGGAATGAGTAATTTGCTTGGGGGTAAAATTGGAAATTTTGTTTCTTCTCCATCTAATGGTGGATTTGACTTGGCTTTGATAAAGCCGGAAACTTCATCGGAAAAAATCATAAATGATGTAACTGGTATGAACTATGAAGATTCTTTTTTATGTTTTTTTTTGTTAAAAATGTTTAAAAGGTAATAAGATGTTTTTTTTAAAAGTATGATGCTATAATTGGAAAAATGAAGATGTGAGTTAACAGATGGTTATTTATATTCTCAGAAAAAGATGGAGATCAATCTAATGAGTCTCATGATGGACATGGAACAAATTCAAAGCCACTGAAAGAGAAAATGTCAAAGGCTGAAAGACGTGCTCTTCAGGAGGCTCAACGAGCCGCAAAAGCTGCTGCAAAAGGTGAGTTTTTTTTTTTTTTTTTTACATGTTATATTATTATTATTTTTAAAAATCTTTTAGTACTTTATCACTTTTATTGCAAATTTTACCTTGCATTTATCAGTTTAGAGTGGTTGGAATAAAATGGATAATAATTCTCCTTTTACGATTATTTTGATTCAAAATAATCATGTAGATAAAAAATAATCATATTGAGTCAAAATAATCGAAAGATGAATATGATTCTTCATGCTGCAATAATAAATTTGAATCCTCCCTCATTTGTATAAATGACCGACTTACCCTTTCTAGATCCTATTATTTACATTGTCGTATGTTGGTTTCTCTTTTTACTATTAAATTTTCCAATCTATTGTTTAATACCAGTTTCGTAATTTGTTGCCTTGTGAATAATTTTTTTTACTAATATATATAATTTGTTTTTTTTTTTTACCTAAAAATGGTTTTTAAAAAGTTTTGTAAAAAGAAATTAGTGTGTAATTTAATTATCTTTACAAGTATTAAAAAAAGTTTGTGAACCAGAAATCAGTAAAGGGCAATTTTGTCATTTGTCATTATCTACATTTCAAATCTTTTGATATATTTATAAACCAAACAGAAATGTAACTGAATTCCATTCCAATTCTTGCCAATCAAACACATGATAGATTTTTCAATTACTTCAAAACATTATGCAAGCTGAATGCCCCTATAATATTGTCATATGAAATGGTATTTTTTTTTCTCAAATTGCCCCTAAGGATGGCAGTTGAATTTTTACCCGTTTGACTCGTTTCTTTTTTACATAATCTCTTCAATTACACTTGTTTGACCCATTAGCGATAAAATGTAACCCAAATCGACCCATTTTCAAATACAAATGTTAAATTTTCCTCCTTTGTTCCAAATTCTAAACTAAACAAGTAATAAGATTCCATGTTTTTGAAAAATAAAATTTAAAGCATAGAGAAAAACGGGGTTCAGGTACATCTTGGGGTTTCTTGTGAGGTTGCATTAGAAGTTAAAAATAAAAATAAAGAAGGGCAATCTTGTAAATTGTAATAGAAACTTACACAATAAGTCCTTTAGTTTCCATTAAGTAAAAAAGAAACAACCTTATATACATCTATACGCATCAAATCATATATCCATTAAATCCCATAAGTCTAAAACAAACAACACCTAAGTTCTTCTTCTTCTTCTTCAACCGCATTAAGTCCATTAAGTCAAAAAGAAACATCACACACCTCACGTTAACTCCATTATACATCTTATAAAGATCCTCATCATGTTTTTCTCATTATTTCATCATCTTTATCCAGCCGAAGGAAATTCAGGGTCAACAAAATCGGTCAAACCCTCAAAGGCTTCTATTCAAAAGAAAGACAACGCCTCGATTGCGACTCATGAGAAAAGAGGTGGTGATAGGGCAATAGATAAGGATAGAAAGAAAGAGATCCCACATCCTCGAATGCAGTTTGATGATATGAGTCGTGTGGAAAAAGCTAATAAACGTGCAGTGGTTAAACAAACCGAGGTTAGGAACCGAGTTGAGCTTTTTAGACATTTACCTCAATATGAACATGGAACAAAGCTTCCCGATCTTGAAAAAAAATTCTTCCGTCTTAATTCCGTTCATCCCGCAGTCTACAAGGTAATTTTTTTAGAAATTACTTACTTTTGTAATTCAAACATGTGTTTTTTAATTATTCATATTTTGTTTTGGTTGGTTTTGTATTCAATTGTTGAATTGTGATCTATAAGCTCCAATAGTGTAGCTTTTTTTTGGCTCAGGGTTTAGGTTATATGTTTTGTGTGCAATAGTTGAAGGTGGAATGGAATTGAGCATTATGGCGGAATGAAATCTTGTTTATATAATCTTCAATAACAATTTTTTTTCAAAAAAATATAAAAGTTTCAGTTCCATGGGGGACGGGTATATCGGTGACAAATATTTTTTTTTGATTATTTGAATGGTTTTATACAGTAAAGTCCCATTATTTTGGGGAATTTTTTGATAAAGTCATAATTTATTTTTTGAACAAAAAAGTACCGATTATTTAATTTTACACGATAATCTATCATTTCCTGTTAAAATAAAAATGACTTTTTTGTTAATTTGGGCACAATATTAAATAATCGGGACTTTCTGTTCAAAAAAATTCCCAAAATAACAGGACTTTTCTGCATAAAACCCTTATTTGAATGAATATAATTATATATATATTTCAAATGACATGGAGATATGTAATTTACTTGGCAATATATCCTTATGTGATTAAAGTTCATTTTTACAAACTAATATCTTTTTCTTTCTTTATGAATTTAATTCCATATACTTTCCTTATTCTACATAACAAACATCATGTTTGAATGGCTTCCTCCATTCCTTCAAGCCAATCAAACATGATATAATGGAACGTACCGACCCATTCCATTCCCTTGCTCATTCCATTCCATTCCTTTGTGATTCCATTCCATCACACCAAACAGACTAACAACTTTTCTTTTTAATCCCAGGTCGGATTACGTTACTTAGCCGGCGACATATCCGGCGGAAATGCGCGTTGCATTGCAATGCTCCAAGCCTTCCAAGAAGCCATAATGGAATACTCACCACCACCGGAAAAAGCCCTAAACCGTGACCTAACCACCAAAATCAACAGCTACATCTCCTTCCTCATCAACTGCCGCCCCCTTTCCATCTCAATGGGAAACGCAATCAAATTTGTCAAAACCCGAATTGCAAATCTCCCATTAACCCTCTCAGAATCCGAAGCAAAACAAAATCTCTTATCCGAAATCAACCATTTCATCAACGAAAAAATCCTCTTAGCAGACAAAGTCATCGTACGCCATGCGGTCACCAAAGTTAGGGACGGAGACGTCCTTTTAACATACGGATCGTCTTCCGCGGTTGAGATGGTGTTTTTGCGGGCCCACGAACTCGGGAAGAAATTTAGGGTTGTTGTAGCGGATTCGCGCCCGAAACTTGAAGGGAGGTTATTGGTTAGGAGACTTATTGGGAAGGGTATAAGTTGTACTTATGTTTATATAAATGGGATTTCTTATATCATGCAAGAAGTTACTAGGGTTTTTCTTGGGGCTTCTTCGGTTTTGGCTAATGGAACTGTTTATTCGAGGGTGGGGACCGCGTGTGTTGCTATGGTGGCTAATGCGTGTGGGGTCCCGGTTATTGTGTGTTGTGAAGCGTATAAGTTTCATGAAAGAGTGCAACTTGATTCGATTTGTTGTAATGAACTTGGTATGGTGTTCAATGTACTTTTGTTGCTTTGTTGTATCTATACATTTATTATTATTTAATTTTTGTTTTGTTTTTTTACTTAAAATTGTAGGGGATCCGGATGCTATAGCTAAAGTTCATGGTCGTGAGGAGATAAATGATTTGAAGGATATTGCAAATGATGAAAACCTCCAAATTCTTAATTTAACGTAAGTTTTATTCTATTGCTAAATTTCAATTTTCATTCATTATGTCAAGTTGTTGACGTTTTTTTTATATGTTTTGTTGAAGGTATGATGCAACGCCTTCGGATTATGTCTCGATGATTATTACAGATTATGGCATGGTGAGTTTTTTTAAGGTTAAATGCAAGAAATAGCAACGCACTTCCATTGTTTTTTTTATCATAACAATCTTACTTCAATTTCTTTCTTTTACAATATTGTATTTGAAAAATCTATCTTACTATATTACTATAGCAATGCCAAACGTGTCTGCTTTTTAATGTTTTATTTTTTATTTTTTATTTTTTCAGATACCTCCAACGAGTGTTCCTGTGATTGTGCGTGAATTCCGCAAAGAACAAATATGGATATAAATTTATCATCCGTGTTTGTATGTGATTGAAGAATGAGAATTATTCAGACTTTTTTTTTTCTTTCTTTTTTTTTGGCGGCAAATGGTTTAGTTTTTTTTTTTAGGTTGGTTTTAAAGACAACCGGACTCGTGAAGAGTGCGAACTTCTGCCTCTCAGAGCTTTGGTGTTGACTGTTGAGTATGTTGTGACTTTTTGACTCTTGTTGTGGTTTTGACACCTGTTGTGGATTTAGGCCAGTGATAGAAATTACAAGTACTACATTTTTTTCGCGGATTATTGTCTGTTTGGATTAAACACTTTTTAAATCGAGACTTTTTAGTACAAAATGGAACTTTTACTAATTCTGTCTACTTAAGTTATTTTTTTAACTGTTACATAAAGTTTCATGGCTTGATTTTTCGGTTTTACAAATACAAGGATTTTTGGTTGATTGTTTTAAAAACTTCAAATAATGAATTGATCAAACGTAAGTTTGATTTCAATAAGTCTATTTGATTACTATTATATATTTATATTTGTATATATGCAACTAAGAACTTGGTTAATAAAAAAAACAAAATCTGATTAATTAAACATTTTATTGGGATATTCCATTTTGATAATACAATTTACCCACAAAATTACATCATACAAGGAAAAGAATATTGCTCTAGTAAATATCAACCAGAAAAGAATACAAAAAACCAATATGAATAAGCAAACACCAAACAACAATTTTCAAAATGACGAAAATACCCCTAACCGTCACGAATTGCTCACGACATCACTTTCTTGTGTGTGCGCTTCTTGTGATCCACTCAAATGACAAATCTCCTCAATCTTACTAGCCACATCATCCATACACGGTCTCTTATCCGGGTATTTAGCTGTACATTCTATTGCCAGCTGTAACATTTGAACCATGTCATCTTCAACATTTTGATACCTCAAAAGCTCAAGATCAAAAACCTCGGAAGTCCACTCTTCTCTAACTACTGATTGGACCCACCTTGGAAGGTCGACCCCTTCTTCGTTATTTATCGGGGATTTACCCGTGAGTAATTCTAATAATAAAATTCCGAAACTGTAAACGTCTGCTTTTTGAGAAACTTTTCGGATATCGGTCACTTCAGGTGACCGATATCCATCTACACGGGTTGGTGCCATGGCGGGACCCACGAGTCCCGCCAGGCAAAAATCAGAGACCCGTGACTCGTAGGATGGAGTTAGCAGGATGTTTGATGATTTTATATTTCCGTGGGAAACTTTTGGTCCTTGTGAATGGAGGTATGTGATCCCTCGCGCGGCTCCTAAAGCGATTATGGATCGTGTTTCCCAATTTAATGGCTTTCGACTGGCTCCACGGTTGCCTGTTGTGTGACCAAAAGTAGGTTAAAAACAAGGGCTAAATGCAAGAAATAGCAATGTAGTTTTAGTTTATTTGTGGGGTTATATGAAAGAAAGTGTAACTTGCTTTTATTGATTTTTGTTTTAGCATTCTACTTTCATGTCTTCCTATTACAACATTGTACTTTGGATGGAACTTTTTAGTATGATATCTAATAAGAAAAAATGGAAGTATAATGCTATTATTGGATTTTCCAAACAAGTATATGCTATATTTGGATTTTCAAAATGCATTGCCTTAATAAGAAAAGTATTGAAATTACAAGGGTGTGAATGTGTAATATAAAGAAATGAAAGCACGATTCTATAATGCACAGATAAATATAAGTGCAATGCTATTTTTTGCAATTAGCCCTTATTGTGTGCATTATAAAATCCTTTCTTCATTTCTTTTTGTTACAACATTGTATTTTCATTTTTTTTTCTTATTAAAGCACTGCACTTTTTAAAAGTCAACCCAATTATAGCATTATACTTTTTTTTAATAATCTTATTAAGAGAATATACTATGAAAAATCTACCGAACTACAAAAGTGAAAATTACTCTTTATTTGAATAAAGATAGATTTATCAAAGTAAAATACTCGAACATGACCCTTTTTACAAAATGCAAGTATATATGGGAATTTCGACCCATTTACACCTACAAATGACTCGTGTGGTTTACAGTCTAGGGTTAAATACAAGAAATAACAACATACTTTCATTTATTTGTCTATACTTTCATTTCATCTTACTAGAAAAATTTATCTACACATAAAATATTTTTAAATACAAAATAATTTTCACTGGTATAATTGAGTAGATTTTTCAATATACGTCCTAATAATTTTTTTTTTTTTGGAAGTACAATATTGTAATCAGGTAGATTTTTCAAAACTATAATATTTTAATAAACAAATAAATGAACTTACGTTGCTACTTCTTGCATTTCAAAACTATAATATTTTAATAAACAAATAAATGAATTTATGTTTCTAAGTCAAACTGGGAAAGTATAAAAAATATAGTTTTAAACAAAAGAGGCAAATGATTTCCACCCGTTTGCCAATTCACCAGAAATGATTAATCCAGCAAATCCATAACACATATGAGAACACAAAAATGGATCTAAGATCTGAAATTGACAGTTGAACCACACACATTTTCAATTTTGACTAACAAAATTCCAGATTCATGATCTGTACGATAAAGATCCGTTTGAAAAAATGAATTTTGAAAAAAATTTAAGAAGAAAAGCATGGAAAAAAAAAGTGAAAGAAATGATTTTTACCATGTAAGAGTGCAGAAAGGCTTCCTGTGGGCATGTAATCACAAACAAGAAGCTTCTCTTCGCCATTAAAATAGTAAGCTCTCAAAGGAAGCAAATTCTCATGATCCATTTTCCCAACACCCTCAATTTTCTCTTTCAATTCCTTCTCCGACATTGTTACATCCCTCAATCGCTTCACAACCACCGTGAGATCCGCCTCCAACGCCGCTTTGTACGCCGTCGCAAACGTCCCTTTCCCCAAAACCTCCGCCGACGCCCGCAATAAATCATCCAAATCGAATTTCCTCTGTTTTTTAGCTCCGCCCAGAAACACTAGTTTCTTACTAACTTCCCCGGATTTCGCTTTTCCACCACCACCACCCACCGCCGCCGTCAACGACGGAAATCCGCTGCTAGAACTGTCGGCATTCTCATGTGGAATCTCAATTTGCATTTGCTTCACCTCACCCACATCCTTCGATTTCAACTCCTCATTTTGATTCCTCTTCTTACAACACAAAAAGAAGAAGATTAGCGAAACTAACAGAAGAATAAACAAAGATCCGATGACAATTCCCGCAATGGCGCCGCCGGAGAGTTTATTAGATGAACTCGACCCGGTATCTGACCCGTTACAAGCTTCAACCGGACTCCCACAGAGAAAATTCCCAGAAAATTCGGATTCTGGGAAACCCACGAACTTTGAAGGTATTTCACCGGTTAATTGGTTGTTTGACACATCGAACTTAGCTAAACGAGTCAAATTATTAACAGAAGAAGGAATGGGACCGGAGAAGTTATTTCCGGCGAAGCTGACACGAACGAGATTCCCGAGCGATGAGAATAAATCCGGAATAGGACCTGAAAAGAGGTTGTCTTGGAGGTAGAGGTTTCGAAGGTTCGTAAGTGAGAAGATGTCGACGGGAAGTTGACCGGAGAGGGCGTTGTAACGGAGGGATAGAGTGGTGAGCTGGGTCAAGTTGCCGAGTGTGTTTGGTGGGAGTTCGCCGGAGAGACCCATTCCGGGGAAATGGAGTTCGACGACGCGGTTTGTTTGGTTGTCGCAGACGACGCCTGGCCATGTGCATGGCGTAGCGGGTTGGGAAATGTTCCAGAGTATGGAACGGCCGCCGACGGAGGAGCGGATGGCGAGGATGGCTGATCTGTCGGCGGAGAGGTCTGGTTTAACGGCAAGAAACAGCGAGAAAAGAAGAAAGAGAATGGAAGGAGCGTGGGACTTCATGATGTTTAGGGGGACAGAGACAGAGACTGATCACAAGTGGATATTTAGAAGAGACAATCTTCCTCATTTTATGATACGAATATAACAGGTTGTGTTTAATTATCATCATTATTATTTTTTGATAAAACTAAAAGGCTGTCTTAACTCTTAAGTTCTTAGGTTTGTTAATTGCTACATTCTCTTTTTTAAAAGAAAAACTAAAAGTTTGAGATAATTAATATTTGAATGGTCGTGACTAGTTTATATTTTGAAATTTTAAGTTCTTATGTTTATTAAATTAAAAAATAGCTTATAAACTATTTTTTTTAAAGTATATTAAGATTAATATATCAATAAACTTATAATTTTTTTAAATATACTATTTATTAATTATAAAATTTTATTTTTTTAGGGAAATTGTCAGAAAATCCTAATATTTTCGGAAAAATTTCACTTTACTCCCAAATTTTTTTTAACAGAAAAGTCATGATTATTTGATTTTACACGATAATATATCATTTCCGGTTAAAAAAAAGTTTCTTTTGTTAATTTGAGCCAAAATGAAACAATCGAAACTTTTATGTTCAAAAAATAAATTTTGGGACTAAGGTGAAACTTTTCCGAAAATATTAAGATTTTTCTAATACTTTTCCTTTTTCTGAATGTTATTTTATATTTCCCAACTAATTTGTAAGTTAGTTTTTATCAACTATTATTTCACTAAATAGAAGCTAGTTTTTTAACTTTACCGTAAAAAAAATCTCTATAATCGGTTTAAATTTATAGCATATAGTATGCCCAAAGTTTTGTCACCATAATTAGCAATTGAAGTCGACTTGTGAAGGTATCAAGATGTATGTGGTTGTGGAATTGGCAACGGTCAGCTCATGAAGGTTAATATTCAAGTTAAATGAGTGGGTGCCTAGATCCCTTAAACAACTTCTTTTCCTGTCAACTAGCTTCACCCTTAATGTGCCAATTGTTTTTTTTCTTCTTTTGGATTTGATATGGAACAATTGGATTCACCTAAAGGGTTAATTTTTTTTTTAAGAACAAGTTTATAGAAAATTCAAACTTTATAATTGGTTTAAATTTATAGCCTATAGTATGTCCAAAGTTTTGTCACCTTAACTAGCAATTGAAGTCAACTTGTGAAGGTATCAAGAGGTATGTGGTTGTGGGATTGGTAAAGGTCACCTCATGAAGGTTAGTATTCAGTTGAATGAGTGGTGTGCCTAGATCGCTTAAACAACTTCTTCTCATGTCAACTAGATTTATTGTTAATGGGCCAATTGTTTTTTTCTTTTGGATTTGAGATGGAGCAATTGGATTCCTGTAAAGGGTTTTTTTTTGAAGAACAATTTTAGAGAAAATTCGAACTTTGTCCACACTTTACAAAAAAGTGTTGTTAATACAACCTCATGTCGGCTTTGCTTCTTTCCGTATGAAGACCCGCTGACTATAACACCCAAATTTTCAAAAGATGTTAGATAACAAAAAACGGTTTCAATATTTCTCCAAATCAAATTCTAATTCTTAATATTGTCTTAACTACAATGGAAACAATAAAAGTACTATATTTGTATTTTCCAATGTTACTTGCTATATAATTCATGGATTGCACACATTTACAGTTACATTTGGGTAAATTTAGTGTAACATCCTAAAAATAATAATATTTGAGTTAAACAATTTACAACCCAAACAAAATATTTAATAGTTGAATGAGACATAATTAGACTTTATAGAGAAATAAACAAAATATTCCTGGGTACCATCCCAATTGGTCAAAGGTTACGGTTATCATAATGTTATGTCACTGCCTTATGAAGGAAGGTACCATCCCAATTGTTTTTTTGGTCAAAATAATGGTAACTTTTGGTTTAGACATTCTCAACAAGACTCTTATGCAATCACAATCCATGTATGCATGCATGAGCACCATTTTTATTTTGTCATTTAAATCACATACACAAGGGTGAGCATTTGGACCTTTGGACTGGACCGGATCTGGACCATATAAGCCTCAATAGGTCCGATTTAAGGTCCACCGATTTCTGCCAATCCGGTCCGGTCCAAGAGCTGGTCTGGTCCAGTTCGATCCAAGAGTCGGTCTTGTAATGAACAAGATTTTCTGACATCTAATCTAAGGGATATATCAGAGTTTTATCTACACAATGTAGAATTCTACTCTAATTAAAACCTTTCAGGTATAATCACGGGTTTACAATAAAATCTTACATACAAATTTGAACAACAAGGAAATTACATAAATAACAACCTACTATCTAATCTTCCTTGTGCTCATGTCTTCTCTTCTGGTACCACATCTGCTACTACCTGAACCTACAAAACATAAACATCCATATAACATCAGACACGTTCTGGTGAGTTATTCTTCTATCTTTTCTTATCTATCTTTCTTCTCTATCGCACACTCTATCATATGATCTTTTTTTTCATAGCATACACTACTATCTTTCCTCTTCTCCTCCATCGCTTTTATATTTCTTCTCTACTATTTCTAATCTCATATATATCTTAGTCTTTGATGTGAAATTTTTATATGCATTAGTTTTAATATTTATGTTCCTCTCAAATCTAGTGTACTTAGTCGTGTAATAGTATAGTAATGGTAAGAACATGTGTTAAACACAAGGGGAACGAGTATGATTTTAACTAAAAACTATTGATACTACTGAAACTAATAAAAATACTTTAAATTTGAGGTTTTTATCTGTTTTTGCAAGTTTAGAAAACCTTAAATTATCAACTATCAATTAACTAAAATTTACTTTAACTAAAGTGAGCAAACAGAAAACGATTTTTAAACCAAGATTAAAGTGCACTTTCGTTTAGCTTCGAATCACGTATACCCTATGGTTAATTTCTTATACAATGGATTATTTAGTCGGTTACCAAATTATGAAGTTACTAGTTATATTGTTTCGATTTCCTAGTGTTTAATCAATTCATGAACTACTATTACAATGGTCATGCAACAAGTGAACGCTAAATTGATTTTAATGTTATTTGGACTATGAATGACATGATCTAGTGATTTTCTTATCTATGATCAAGACAATAAATCAAGCACATAATATGATTATTAATGCTCTCTAACACAATCAAACTTACCAATTATTACCACCTAACCCTATGATTTGTTCTATTACTAGATCTAATTATTTAATGATCATAAAAAGCTAAATAACAAGTTAATGCAATTGGAGTGATCATCTAACTACATATAACTTGAAGATAAGTGGTAAAAATTAGAACTTTAACATGCTAGGATGTTGATCTATCAAACACAAGTAAAAACCAACATAAATAAATCCATATAACTTGAGATTAACACATAGTTTTTAGGTACATCTATACTAAACGAAAGCTAAAGGGTATTAGCCCATAACTACAATAGATAAATGAAATAGCATTGAGTAAACTAGATTAGACATGATGAATTTAAGCAAACCGAATGATTTATCGTCTTCTTCGTGTAGATCTCTTCAATACTCGTCCTTCAATCGATCATCACCCTTCTTAGGGTTTCTAAGAGGGATTTGGACGTCTTAAGTCGCAGGTAATAGCAACACACATATGAAAATCGACCTAACGATCACTTAAGTACGTTTCCTTAAATTAGTCACCACGTCTTGGTCAATGGCTTACCACGTCGTGAGCGACATTTTCTTTACGTAGGCACCAAGATTTCCATGCAGATCATTAGGGAAGCTTCTGTTGGATTAGGTGTCTAAGCCAATAACTGAATTGGTATATACTTGAATTAAAAGCAAAGTCCTTTTGGGTTTCCCTTAAAACTAGTAATTGACTGGAATGACTTTTGGAGAGAGAGGTTGATTTATTGATTTATTATAATTAATATGTTATGAGAATATATTAATCAGAAATAGTATTATTTAATTAATAATTAATTAGAAATTAATTGGGATTAATTTTAGGATTAATTAGATTAACTAAAAGTGCAAAGACTTAAGCTGTAACTGTTCAATAGGTGAACAGGAGAAGAATTCTAGAATATTCCTAGGGTTGGCCGAATTTTGGCTTGCCTCTAGGATTTTTAGAATACTCCATGTGGATAATGTGGATAATTAGAAAACTAGATAAATTCCGAATTTGAAATAATATTATTTTATTTCAAATTAGGGTTTTTAGGGTTTTTCTATCAGTTATAAATAGGACCCTTTGGGTACCCCATTTTTGTCCCAACATTAACACAAATAAGAAGATCCGAAATTATGCTCCTCTCTCCTCTCTCCTCTCAAGTCTTCTATTGCTAGGGTATAAGTACAAACCATTAGAGACATCAAGCTTTTGGTGTTAGCTTTCTAAGAGATTTGAAGAAAGGAATCACTTTGATTATTTACTATAATAATCAAAAGATATGTAACCCATAATCCTTGTTATTTTCAATAATAGTAGGATACCTTAGGGTTCTTTGATGTTCATAGATTATAGATATCAATAAAGAAAACTTAGATCCAAATAGGTTGCTTGTGAACTTAACGGTTAAGTTATTTCGCCTCATGCATTGAATTATAACCTATAAAGCCTATCAGTGGTATTAGAGCCTTAGTTTTTTATTTGATTGTGCATAATAATGAATAGATCAAAATTAGGGTTTATAGAAATTAAACCCTAAGGGCCTTGGATTTTCGACTTTGCTAGGGCTTATTGAAACCCTAGCCTCCCTAACCCTATTTTCGAAAATGGGGGAGTTCCTTTAGGGTTTATCTTGTTTCCTTAATTATTATTTTAAATGCCTTAAAATTTGAATAATTAAAACCTGATAAACCCAACCCTAATTTTCGAAAATTAGAAGGGTTTGGATTAGGATTAAATTTGAATTATTTTATTAATTATTTAATAGTAAATAATTATAAAATCCCTAAATGATTTAAATTAGTTTAATTAATTGTTTAATTAAAAGATATATATATATTAAATCGTATTTGTTTTAAATATTAATTAATTAAAATTTTAATTTAGATAATTAATATTTAAACCTCGTGTTTTAAAAAGTTTTAAAATACA